GTACAATTCTCCATGGTATTATTGTTTATTGTGACTTGTCTTGTTCCTCCTTCTCCACCTCCTCCGTCTCCATCTCATCCGTCGGTGGGTGGGGTGATTGCGCGAGCAGTGGAGTTGACAACTCACTGCGATCAGAAATGCACCACATAGACTGTGCCACTCATATAGCACAGTCTAGGTTGTAGTACATCAAGTACCGTACAGAGATGGCACCACATATATTGCACAGCATCGATTGCACACCACGGATTGCACAACATAGATTGCACACCATCAATTGCACAACATAGATTGTACACAACAGACAGCACAGCATATATTACACAGCATAGAGCGCACACAGCATGCAGCACAACATAGCTTGTCGCACGCATACTGCACCTGATAGGTTGCAACACATGGATTCCACTAAGGATTCTGTTCAAAACACACTGGTTGGGGTCTACGCTGGCTTACATCTGCTGAATGAGATGGGGCCTTCTTCAGGCATGTGAGGGCCGTTTCGAGGGAGCTGCTGGAGGCTTTCCAGGAGCCGCTGGGGAGCGTCCTGGAGGCCGTCTTGGAGCCTCTGGGGGGGTTCTTGAAGGCTTGCTGGCCATGGGAGGGGCAGGAGGTGTGGGGAGCCCTCAAGACTTGGCCTTGTTGGGACTCCCTTGGGGCCGTCTTGGGAGACTGTCTGGCCGTCTTGGGACCGTCCTGAGGGTCTCGGAGGCCGTGTTGGGGGCTCTCTTGGGAGTTCCCTCGGCGACCTCCGGACGATTTGGAAGGCTTTTCGGTTTGAGTTGGGCGTCTTTTGGCCGAAGAAGCGATCGCAAGAGAAGTATCACAAAACTTAGATGATACCTCTAGTTTTACGGCCTCATGGCACTCTCGGAGGGAATCTGAGAGCCTGGTGGAACCAGGTGGGGCTTTCTCGGGCCGTCTGGGAGCCCTCTTGCCCTGCAGAGGAGCACTTTGGGGGCCTTGCAGGGCACTCGCGGAGCTCTCCTAGGCCAGGACGGCATCGCTCCACGAGCGGGGCCACTGAGGCGCCGCCGCGGCGGGCCTGGCGGGTGCAATCAATCACCCCTCTAGCATGCGCTGAGCCCCGTACCGTATTGTAGTGTAGATGACGTTGGGCTCCACCTTCGCCTCACACATCTCGCTCAGAAGCGCAAGCGCCCGCTGCCACTGCTCGCCCTTCTCGCACGCGCTGATCACAGCATTGTAGCTGATAGGGCTGACCCGTGGACTCCGTCCACGACATCTTTCTGGAATGGTTCTCGGAGGAACGGCGCAGATTGTACCGAAAATCTACAAACACGGCGGCGGCTCGGGCGGCGGCAGCGAGACCGCGCCTTCGTGTCCGAGCTCTTGCAGCGCTGCAGCAGCTTGGCCCAGCGCACTGCTCGTTCACCCCCCTCCTATTGAGGACAGTTTCGAAGTCTCTCGGGGATGTGCGTCGAAGTCGAAGCCCATCTGAGGCGTCTCAGGAGCGCTCGGGGAAGGGCTCGGGAGGCCATCGGGGAAAGCCACCGAAAGCGCCGGGGAGGCTCGCAAGGATCTACAGGGAGGGCCCAAGAGAGCTTCAAGAAAATTTGAAATCCAGTGAACTCTTAAGAGAAACCGCTGTTGGGTCGGCCATCACCTCCGGGCGCGCCTTGATGGTGCGATCCAGTCGCATCACCGCCAACGGGAGGGTTTGTTCGCCATGTCCCATTATGTTCGCCCAGAGGGTCTGTCGAGGCCTTCGGGCGAACAGAACGGGACAGGGCAAGGAATGGGGAAGACATGTCCGAATCTCCTGGGCCCCCCAGATGCTCGTCCGAAGAATGCGGAGAGGTCCCAGGGTCATATCAATTGGCTGCTGTCCCAGGGGTCCGGTCTGCTTGGCCCGAAGAGTTTGCCAAGGCCCCTGGGGGAACAGAATGGCACAGCATATCGGGCAAAGGGGGGCGGTAGCTGGCCTGTCAGACCCGGCGTTCGTCTTCTGCCCAAGCGGCGCGGGGCCCACGGGCCCCAGGGTTGGCGTCCCGCTGGGATTCCTCTTGTTCGCCCACAGGGTTGGAGGAGGCCTCCAGGCGAACAGAATGGGGCAGGACAATGAATGTGGGAGACTTGTCGCAAGCTCCCAGCCCCCCCAAGTGTGCGCCCGAAGGGTGTGGGGCCGCGTTGGCTCCCTCAAAGGGCCGTCTTGGAGCCGTCTAGGCCCGTCTTGAGGGCGCCGTTTGCCCTGATGGGGCCGTCTTGGTTCGTCGTGGGCCCCTCATGGGCGCGTCCGTAGGCCGTCCTGGGCCCATCGGGGTCCTCGTGGGGCTGTCTTGGAGCCGTCTGGGACCGTGAGGAGGCCGCCTTGGAGTCGTCTTGGGCCCCTCCTGTGCGCCTCCTTGGGCCGTCCTGGGCCCAGCAGGGGCCGTGTTGGCACCCTCTTGGGGCTGTCTTGGAGCCGTCTTGAGCCGTCGCAGCGCGCCTTGGGTTGTGCTGGGTCCGTCTTGGCCCGTCTTGGGGCCTTCCTGGGCGGTTCCTCGGACCCTCCTGGGACTTTCTGGGGCCTCTTGGTGCATCGGACCGCCGAAACGGCGGGAAACGCAAAGGGTGTAACAGTAAACAATGGAAAATTAACGATTTTTGCCAGCTGGGACTCTCTTGCCATCTTGGCCCGTCTTGAGGCCCCGAACGGGCGCGTCCTTGGGCCGTCCTGGGCGCACCCTCCTGGGACCGTCTTGGAATCGTCTTGGGCCGTCTTGAGCGCGCCTTGGGCCGTCCTGGGCCGGTCTGGGGCCGTGTTGGCACCCTCGCGGCGAGGAAGCTCGGAGGCGGGCTCGAGGCCTCTTCGGGGCCATTTTGGAAGCTGTTGGGGCCTCTGTAGGGGCCTCGTTTGGGCTCCTTGGGAGCCTCCTGGGGCCTCTTCGGGGGATTCTTGGCGGCCCTTGGGGCCTCTTGGGGGCCTGTTTGGGCCTCCTGGCGCCCTCTTGGGGCGGAAGGCTCGGATTTTCGGTCCGTGGTCCCCCTCTTGGCCCCCTCTTGGGCCTGTCTTCGGGCCCTCGTGGGCCGTCTTGAGCGTCTCTTGGGTCGTCTTGGGGCCCTCTTGGGCTGTCTTGGGGCGCTCTTGGAAACCTCTTGGGCCGTTCTGGGGCGCTCTTGGAGGCCTCTTGGGCCGTCTTCGAGCGTCGGAAAGCGGAAAAGGCGAGAAGGCCAAAATCCTTCCAAAACCGTCGTAAAGCGGACGATTTTGAGGCCCAAAACCGTCCAAAACCTCCTGAGGCGGTCCCCTCGTCCGCCCCCCTCGCTTCGAAGCAGTTTTTAAGCCCCGTGGCACCTCTTAGGGATCTCTTTTGGGCTCCTGGGGGCCTCTTGGGCCTCCACTGGATTCGCTGCCCTCGGTCGGCAATCGTCGATCCTACGACGACTCTCCCCAACGGAGAAACATCGAAGGCCCTCGGAGCGTCCGACATTGTTCTTTTGTGCCTTCGATATGCTGGTCGCCTCTCGTCCGCTCCCCCTCTCCTGGAAGCAATTCTGAGGCCACTTAGGGCTTCGTGGGGGCCGGTTGGGGATCTCTTGGGGCGTTTTTGCCTGCGATATGCCTGTCGCCTCTCGTCCGCTCCCCTGCTCCTGGAGGGAATTCAGCAGGCACTGAAGGCTTCGTGGGGGCCGTTTCGGAGCCTCTTCGGCCTTCTTTTGGGCCTCCCGGGGGGGCTCTTAGGGCCCTCTCGGGTTGTCTTGGGTGCCTCTTGTGCCGTCTTGGGGCCGTCTGAGACCCGTCTCGGCGCCTCTTGGGCTGTCTTGGGCCGTCTTGGGCCGCTCCTGGGGCCGTCTTGGGTGCCTCTTGGGCCGTCTTGGGCGCCTCCTGGGCCGTCCTGGGGCCGTCCTGGGGCGTCTTGGGACCGTCTGGGGGCCCTCCTGGCCCGTCTTGGGGCTCTCTTGGGGTCCTCTTCGGCCGTCTTGGAGCGGTCGGGGGGACTTCTTGGGCCGTCTTGGAGCGTCGGGAAGCCGAAGAGGCGAGGAGGCCGAAAACATCGAAAAACACAGTAGACATCGACGATTTCTGTCGCTCGGGGCCCTCTTGGGAGGCCTCTTGGGAAGCCTCTTCGGGCGTCTTGGACGCCTCTTGGGCCGCCTGGGGTGAATCTCGGGCGTCTTGGGCCCATCTTTAAGCGTGCCGGGGCTCTCCGGGGCCGTCTTGGGAGCTTCTGGGGGCCCTCCCGACATGTCCTGGAGCCTGCCTGGGCGGCCCGGGGCGGCCCGGGGCCAGCCCGGGGCGATTATGAGTTAATGGAGCCTGCGCCCTTCTGGCACGCACTGGGCCCTGCAATGTAGTAGAGACTAGGGCTGACCCGTGGACTCCGTCCACGACATCTTTCTGGAATGGTTCTCGGAGGAACGGCGCAGATTGTACCGAAAATCTACAAACACGGCGGCGGCTCGGGCGGCGGCAGCGAGACCGCGCCTTCGTGTCCGAGCTCTTGCAGCGCTGCAGCAGCTTGGCCCAGCGCACTGCTCGTTCACCCCCCTCCTATTGAGGACAGTTTCGAAGTCTCTCGGGGATGTGCGTCGAAGTCGAAGCCCATCTGAGGCGTCTCAGGAGCGCTCGGGGAAGGGCTCGGGAGGCCATCGGGGAAAGCCACCGAAAGCGCCGGGGAGGCTCGCAAGGATCTACAGGGAGGGCCCAAGAGAGCTTCAAGAAAATTTGAAATTCAGTGAACTCTTAAGAGAAACCGCTGTTGGGTCGGCCATCACCTCCGGGCGCGCCTTGATGGTGCGATCCAGTCGCATCACCGCCAACGGGAGGGTTTGTTCGCCATGTCCCATTCTGTTCGCCCAGAGGGTCTGTGGAGGCCTTCGGGCGAACAGAACGGGACAGGGCAAGGAATGGGGAAGACATGTCCGAATCTCCTGGGCCCCCCAGATGCTCGTCCGAAGAATGCGGAGAGGTCCCAGGGTCATATCAATTGGCTGCTGTCCCAGGGGTCCGGTCTGCTTGGCCCGAAGAGTTTGCCAAGGCCCCTGGGGGAACAGAATGGCACAGCATATCGGGCAAAGGGGGGCGGTAGCTGGCCTGTCAGACCCGGCGTTCGTCTTCTGCCCAAGCGGCGCGGGGCCCACGGGCCCCAGGGTTGGCGTCCCGCTGGGATTCCTCTTGTTCGCCCACAGGGTTGGAGGAGGCCTCCAGGCGAACAGAATGGGGCAGGACAATGAATGTGGGAGACTTGTCGCAAGCTCCCAGCCCCCCCAAGTGTGCGCCCGAAGGGTGTGGGGCCGCGTTGGCTCCCTCAAAGGGCCGTCTTGGAGCCGTCTAGGCCCGTCTTGAGGGCGCCGTTTGCCCTGATGGGGCCGTCTTGGTTCGTCGTGGGCCCCTCATGGGCGCGTCCGTAGGCCGTCCTGGGCCCATCGGGGTCCTCGTGGGGCTGTCTTGGAGCCGTCTGGGACCGTGAGGAGGCCGCCTTGGAGTCGTCTTGGGCCCCTCCTGTGCGCCTCCTTGGGCCGTCCTGGGCCCAGCAGGGGCCGTGTTGGCACCCTCTTGGGGCTGTCTTGGAGCCGTCTTGAGCCGTCGCAGCGCGCCTTGGGTTGTGCTGGGTCCGTCTTGGCCCGTCTTGGGGCCTTCCTGGGCGGTTCCTCGGACCCTCCTGGGACTTTCTGGGGCCTCTTGGTGCATCGGACCGCCGAAACGGCGGGAAACGCAAAGGGTGTAACAGTAAACAATGGAAAATGAACGATTTTTGCCAGCTGGGACTCTCTTGCCATCTTGGCCCGTCTTGAGGCCCCGAACGGGCGCGTCCTTGGGCCGTCCTGGGCGCACCCTCCTGGGACCGTCTTGGAATCGTCTTGGGCCGTCTTGAGCGCGCCTTGGGCCGTCCTGGGCCGGTCTGGGGCCGTGTTGGCACCCTCGCGGCGAGGAAGCTCGGAGGCGGGCTCGAGGCCTCTTCGGGGCCATTTTGGAAGCTGTTGGGGCCTCTGTAGGGGCCTCGTTTGGGCTCCTTGGGAGCCTCCTGGGGCCTCTTCGGGGGATTCTTGGCGGCCCCTTGGGGCCTCTTGGGGGCCTGTTTGGGCCTCCTGGCGCCCTCTTGGGGCGGAAGGCTCGGATTTTCGGTCCGTGGTCCCCCTCTTGGCCCCCTCTTGGGCCTGTCTTCGGGCCCTCGTGGGCCGTCTTGAGCGTCTCTTGGGTCGTCTTGGGGCCCTCTTGGGCTGTCTTGGGGCGCTCTTGGAAACCTCTTGGGCCGTTCTGGGGCGCTCTTGGAGGCCTCTTGGGCCGTCTTCGAGCGTCGGAAAGCGGAAATGGCGAGAAGGCCAAAATCCTTCCAAAACCGTCGTGAAGCGCACGATTTTGAGGCCCAAAACCGTCCAAAACCTCCTGAGGCGGTCCCCTCGTTCGCCCCCCTCGCTTCCACCTCTTGGGGATCTCTTTTGGGCTCCTGGGGGCCTCTTGGGCCTCCACTGGATTCGCTGCCCTCGGTCGGCAATCGTCGATCCTACGACGACTCTCCCCAACGGAGAAACATCGAAGGCCCTCGGAGCGTCCAACATTGTTCTTTTGTGCCTTCGATATGCCGGTCGCCTCTCGTCCGCTCCCCCCCTCCTGGAAGCAATTCTGAGGCCACTTAGGGCTTCGTGGGGGCCGTTTGGGGATCTCTTGGGGCGTTTTTGCCTGCGATATGCCTGTCGCCTCTCGTCCGCTCCCCCGCTCCTGGAGGGAATTCTGAAGGCACTGAAGGCTTCGTGGGGGCCGTTTCGGAGCCTCTTCGGCCTTCTTTTGGGCCTCCCGGGGGGGCTCTTAGGGCCTCTCGGGCCGTCTTGGGTGCCTCTTGGGCCGTCTTGGGGCCGTCTGAGACCCGCCTCGGCGCCTCTTGGGCTGTCTTGGGCCGTCTTGGGCCGCTCCTGGGGCCGTCTTGGGTGCCTCTTGGGCCGTCTTGGGCGCCTCCTGGGCCGTCCTGGGGCCGTCCTGGGACCGTCTGGGGGCCCTCCTGGCCCAACTTGGGGCTCTCTTGGGGTCCTCTTCGGCCGTCTTGGAGCGGTCGGGGGGACTTCTTCTTGGGCCGTCTTGGAGCGTCGGGAAGCCGAAGAGGCGAGGAGGCCGAAAACATTGAAAAACACAATGGAAATCGACGATTTCTGTCGCTCGGGGCCCTCTTGGGAGGCCTCTTGGGAGGCCTCTTCGGGCGTCTTGGACGCCTCTTGGGCCGCCTGGGGCGAATCTCGGGCGTCTTGGGCCCATCTTTAAGCGTGCCGGGGCTCTCCGGGGCCGTCTTGGGGGAATCTGGGGGCCCTCTCGACATGTCCTGGGGCCTGCCTGGGCCCCGGGGGCAGCCCGGGGCAGCCCGGGGCTAGCCCGGAGCGGTTTTGAGACATTTGAGCCTGCTCACCCTTCCCGCATGCACGTGCCCCTGCAATGTAGTAGAGACTAGGGCTGACCCGTGGACTCCGTCCACGACATCTGGCCGAGAGCATTCTTGGGGGAGCGGCGGGGATGCTGCTGAAAAGCTGTCCACATGGCGGTGAACCCCTCGGCTTCGAGGGGGACTCTGGAAGCCCTCTTGGGCTCTCGTCGGTGCCGTCCGGGCCGTCTCGGAACCGTCTTAGGCCGTCTTGGGCGCCTCTTGGGCGATCTGGGGGCCGTCTTAGACCATCTTGGGCGGCTCTTGGGGCTGTCTTCTTTGGGGCTGTCTTCGGAGGCTCCTGGCCTGTATTTGTCTTGCTCGGGGCCCTGTGGGGAAGCTTCTGGGGAGGTCCCATGGAGAACCTTGGAGATCTGTCGGGCCGGCTTGGGCCAATGTTGGGCCAATCTCGAGCGTGTGTGGCACATCTGGGGGCCTGTTGAGCCGACTTAAGGGCCCTCTGGGCCTGTCTTGGGGCTCTCTTTGGGTCCCTTTTCGGCCGTCTGGGAGGCGTCTTGGGAGCGCCTTGGGCGGTCTTGAATCGCCTGGAAGCCGAGAAGGCGAGCACCGCAAAAAACCTGCAAAAAGCAACGAAAGTCAATGCTTTGTCCTGCTTGGGGCCCTCTGGGGAAGCTTCCCGGGAGGTCTCTCGGAGCACCTTGGAGACCTCTCGGGCCGGCTTGGGCCAATCTTGGACCAATCTTGAGCGTCTGGGGCCCATCTGGAGGCCTGTTGAGCCGACTTGGAGGCCCTCTGGGCCCGTCTTGGGTCTCTCTTGGGGGCCTCTTAGTCTCGGAGGCGCCTGGGGAACGTCTGAGGCCGTCGTGGATCGTGCGGAAGCTGAAAAGGCGAGCACGGCAAGAGCCCAGCAAAAAAACATGATAATCAATGTTTTTTCCTGCTCGGGGCCATCTGGGGAAGCTTCCCAGGAGGTCTCACAGAACATCTTGGAGACCTGTCGGGCCGGCTTGGGCCTCTTGGGGCTCTCTTGGCGTGTGTTCGAGCCTGTCTGGGCGGCCCAGGGCCAGCCTCTGGGGGCCTGTTGAACCGATTTGGAAGCCCTGTGGGCCCGTCTTGGGGCTCTTTTGGGGGCCTCTTCGGCCATCTTGGAGGCGTCTTGGGAACGTCTTGGGCCGTCGTGGATCGTATGGAAGCCGACAAGGCGAGCACGGCAAAAAACCCGCCACAAATAATGAAAAGCAATGTTTTTTCCTGTTCGGGGCTCTCTGGGGAAGCTTCCTGGGAGGTCTCACGGAGCACCTTGGAGACCTGTCGGGCCGACTTGGGCCTCTTGGGGCTGTCTTGGCCCGGGGCCAGCCTCTGGGGGCCTGTTGAGCCGACTTGGCGGCCCTGTGGGCCCGTCTTGGAGCCGTCTTGGGCCGCTCTTCGGGCCATCTTGGGGTCCCGTTGGCCTGTCTTGGGCGCCTCTGGGGCCGTCCTGGGGCCGCCTTGGACCGTCTTGGGGCCCTCTTGGACCGTCTTGGGGTCCTCTTGGGGACCTCTTCGACCGTCTTGGAGCGGTCTTGGATGCCTCTGGGAGGAGTTCGGAGCGTCGGGAAGTCGAAAAAGCGAGGAAACAAAAAACCTCGGAAAAACCAATGAAAGTCAACGATTTTGGCCTCTCGGGGCTCTCTTGGGAGGCCTCTTGGGAGGCCTGTTGGGCCGTTTTGGGGAGCTCTTGGGCCGTTTTGGGCCACTCTCGGGCGTCTTGGCCGGATCAGTGCGCGTCTCGGGGCCCTCTTGGGCCGCCTTCGGGGCATCGTGAGCGGGTCGGAGCCGTCTTGGAGCGGCTCGGAGCCGTCTTTGGGCTGTCGGGGCGGCCTCCAGAGCGTCTCGGAGCCGTTTCCCGGCATTTGGCCCTTTTTCCTTCCGGCACGCGGTTCCTCCGGCCATTATAGTATAGATGATTACATTCACGGTGTGCTCAGCCTCGGGTTCGCACACCGTGGATGAACAGCTCGTCGAAGATGAACAGCTCGGGCGTCCCTGGGGCCGTGTCGTGGGCATGTTGGGCCCTCCTGCGAGCCTGTCTGGAGCGTCTTGAAGGCCTCTTGCGGTTTTTGGGCGCCAGCCTCAGAAGAGCCCGAAAGGGTCATAGTGTGGCCCGAAAAGGCGCAAGCAGAGGCCAACAGGGGCTCCGTACGGCCCTCCAGGGAGCACCCGACGGATAGTACAACAGGGGTGATGGTCTGAGGGCTTCCTGATCCAGGGCTGGAGGGGGGTCCACGATCCGAAGGTTCTTAAGTGGGTCTGGGGCAGGTCGGAGTGATCTATAGGGCCTGGTGTAGGGTCTAGGGCTTCTTTTGGGGCTTATGGGCCTGGTGGTCCCAGCACCATCGTGCAAAAGGAATTGCTATCATCTAGTAAAGGCCGGTTTCTGGGCCCACCACGTTTCTGTGCCCACCACGTTCCATGCGAAAGAAGTAACTGGTTTCTGGGCCCACCACATAAGAAATGTAAAGCAGTAGTAAAACTATGATGCGCAATTCATCTTTGAAAGTCTTTGCTCGTCTAAGGGCGTTCCGACTTGTAACATGATCACAATCGTCGCGTGGAAACCCAACCTGGCAAGAACGGCGGAACGCCAAGTTATCCAGCGAACGCGTGAGAGAACGCTTGGTTGGCCATGCGAAGCGTCGTCGTCGTCGTCGCGTCGAAGTCGTCGTTGTCATCGTCGTCGTCGGCGCCGTCGTGGGGATCCATGTTCGTGGTTGTCCGGAGGCTCTGCGGGGCTGTCATGGAACGCTCGAGTGGCCTCCGCGGGGCTCCATCGGGCGCCGCTGACGCCGCCAGCGAAGCCTCGGCGAGGCCCCATCGAGGGCCGCGGGCGCGGCCGGACCAATTTGACATCCTTGCTGGTTTTGTTCGGAGGCTCTGCGAGGCTGTCCTGGCACGCTCGTGGAGCCTCCGCTGTGCCCCATCGGGGGCCGCTGTAGCCTCGGGGGGTCCCGTGGTGTCCCGTTGAGTGAGATCGATAGTGAGATCGATAGTGAGACCGATAGTGAGATCGACATCCCGCGGTGTCCCGTGGTGTCCCGTGGTGGCCCGTGGTGTCCCGTGGTGTCCCGTTGAGTGAGATCGATAGTGAGATCGACAAGTTTCCCGTGGCGTCCCGTGGTGTCCCGTGGTGTCCCGTGGTGTCCCGCTGAGTGAGATCGATTGTGAGATCGACAAGTGTCCCGTGGTGTCCCGTGGTGTCCCGTGGTGTCCCGTTGAGTGAGATCGATAGTGAGATCGATTGAGTCAGATGTTGATTCCCCCCCTCTCCCCCCCCACAACTTCCTTATCACCCGAAGGGTGGCCGTATAGCTAACTTATATGCAAAAGGAATACGTTTTCCGTCGGGAATGGGACGATTGTAACTTTTCGGGGCTGCCTTGGGGACCCTCTTGGACCTTGCTTGGGCCGTCTTGGGGGCCTCCTGAGCCGTCGTCAAGCTAACTAAAGCCATCTTGGGGCCGTCTCGAGCGCCACTTCGGCCGTCTTTGGGCCCTGATGGGCCGCATAGGAGACGTGGCCCGAGCTACCCCGGAGACGCTTTTCGGCTTCCCCGGGCCTCTCGGAATTAGAAAAGCCGATTGATTCAATGCACCTTCTGGCGTCGCTCCACGAGCGGAACCGCGGAGGCGCCGCCGCCACGAGCCCGGCGTGCGCAAAGAATTACCTCGCTGGCACGCGCAGTGCCCAGTATTGTAATCTAGTATAGATGACGTTGGGCTCCACCTTCGCCTCCCACATCTTGCTCAGAAGCGCAAGCGCCCGCTGCCACTGCTCGCCCTTCTCGCACGCGCTGATCCCAGTGCTGCAGCTGACTAGTGTGAACCCGTGGATTGAATCCACGGCGTGCTGAGCCTGGGACTCGCACACCGCAGGTGACCAGCTCGTCGAAGTTGAACAGCTCGGGCGCTCCTGGGGCGGCAGGGTCGACCTTCGGAGGCACATGTGACGGTCACGTTCGAGGACAATGGTTGGGGGCTGCGTGTGGGGGCCACATTTGAAGGCGCCTAGGGGCTACGCGTGGGGGTGACGTTCGGGGGCCACGCTCACTGGGGCGGTAAGGGCGACCTTCGGAGGCTTGGTGTGGGGGCCGCGTTTGGGGGTCCCGTTAGGGGGCCACGCGTGGGGCCGACGTTGAAGGGGCCACGTCTGGGGGCCACCCTGGAAAGCAGTCGGGGAGCCTCGGGGGCACTGACATGGAAGCGTGAAAAGGAATGGGTTTTTGCTAATCGCGCCGGGCCTGGGCGCGATTAGCAAAAACACAAAAGTTCTCAGGCACAGTCAGAGTCAGGGGGCCACGTTTGCGGGCCTCGGCTGGGGACCGCGCAAGGAGGTCCTGGGGCCATCTTGGGGGTCTCGTGCCGTCTCGGAGGTCGCTTTCGGCCCTCTTGGGCGGCATCTGGGGCCCTTCTTGGAGCGTCTTGGGGCCATCTTGGGGGTCTCGGACCGTTTCGAAGGTCGCTTTGGGCCCGCTCGGGCGGGATCTGGAGCCCGGTTGGGGCTGACTTGGGGCCCTCTTGGACCGTGCAGAGGCGATCTGGGAAGCCCACGGGGCCATCCTGGGCCGTTGTAGGCCCGAAATGCCGGGAACAGGAAAACCCTCGGACCCCTCGGAAAATGCACAAATATTGCCTCTTGGCGCCGTCCACGCGGTCCTCGGGGGCCGTCTCTGAGGCCTTTTTGTGCCGTCATGGGGCTCTGGTCGGGTCGGCTTCGGCCCTCTTGGGCGTCTGTGAGGTCGTCTTGGGGCGATCTGGGGTCCTGGAGCCGTCGGCGAGCGCTCCAGGGGCATCCTGGGGCCGTTGAGGAGCACCCCCGAGGCTCTCCGGGCGGCCCGCGGGCTCTCTGGGCAGCCCGGGGCGCTGCCACTGCTTCTACTACTCGCACGCGCTTCGCCCGGAATTGTAATAAAGACTAGGGCTGACCCGCGGCCTTCCCGCCGCGGAATCTACCCGCCATGGTGTGGACTCCGCCCTGGGGCCGCTCAGGCGCCCGGTGCACGGGAGGATCACCGATAGGACGCTGGAGGAACTGTCCATTTGGTTTACTTGGGCTGCACGTCAGGAGCCTTCTCGGGGTGTCTGGACACTCTTGGGGCATTTTTCTGGGCATACTCGGGAAATCTCTGAGGCTCCGATCGGCTTTGGGGCCATTTTGGGCGCCCTCCTCGTCCTCCCCGGGATCCTCCATCCCGTCGATCTTCGTTAGCAGCCATCTCGGTGTGCCTGGACCTTGGGACCTCCTTCGGATCATGCTCGGGACATCTCGGTGGGTCCTGTCGGCTTGTGGGGGAATAGTGGCCGTCCTCCTCCTCCTCGTCCCTCGATCCTGCATCATGTCGATCTTCGATCGTCAGTCGTCGACACTCCCCAAGAGAGAAGCATCGAAGGCCTCTTGGGGGCCCTTTGGGGGCCTCTTTTCGTCCTCCTGGGGGTCTCTCGGGGCCCTCTTGGGCGGTCTGAAGTGCCCCCGGGGCCGTCTTGGGGCGATGTGGGGCCGTCTGGGGCGCCTCTCGGGCCATCGTTGGGCCGTCTTGGGGCCATCTTGGGCCGTTATTGTGCGCTCTTGGGGCTGTGTTGGCTGCCTCTTGGGCCGTCTCGGGCGCATCTGGAGCCATCCAGGGGCCGTCTCGGGCCATTTTGGGGCCCTCCTGGGGGCGTCTTGAAGCGATCTTGCGGGCCTGTACAGCCGTCTTGGAGACTGTGCAAGCGGAAGGACGAACATATCCTCCGAAATGGGACGATTGTCCCTCTTGGGGCTCTTCTGGGGGTCCTCCTGAGCCGTCTCGCGAGCCTCTTTGCCTGCCTTGGAGGCCTCTGGGGCCATCCTGGGGCTCGCTCGGGGTCCTCTTGGGGCGTCCCGGCGCCCTCGTGAGCGTCTCTAAGCCATCTTGGGGCCGTCTTGGGGCATCTTGGGACCCCCCAGAACCGTTTCGGAGCGCAAGGGTGACTCGCAGGGCGCCCCGGAGGGCCCAGTGGGGCCTTTCGGGACAGAGGACCTTCTCGTACGCAAAGATCGCTGCATTGTAAAAGAAACCAGTGTATACCCGAGAAGCAAGTCCGCAGGTGCCCTGGCAGGGCAACGCGGCGGGGTCACCTCTGTGCCATCTTGGGTCGTCTTGGGCGCCTCTTGAGCCGTCTTGGGGCTTTCCCTGAGCTGCTTTGCAGCTCTCTTGGGCCGTATTGCAGCCTTGCAGGACGTTCTGAGAGCATCTGGAGGACCTCGGAAATTACCCCAAGACGGGCTCCAGCGGCCCGAAAAACGCACCCGACGGATGCTACAAAAGGGGGGGGGCGTTGTAGCATCCGTTTGGAGGCCTCTTCGGGCTCTCTAGGAGCGCTCTTGGGGCCGTCTTGGGGTGCGCCTAGGGCTTTAGTGGGCCATTTCTGGGCCATATCGGGTCGTCTTGGGCGCCTCTTGGGCCGTCGGGGCCCTCCGGGGCCGTCTTGGGCCGTCGAAGGGCTATCTGGAGCCGCGTTGGGATCCTCTTCGGAGGCCTCTTGGCCAGGCCTGGGGCGAGCTTGGGAGCTCGGCGTGTCAGAAAACCCTGCAGATAATGCAATTTTTTTTGGACCCAGGAAGGATCGTCCAAAACGGCCGCTGGGGGCCCTGGTCCGCAGCAGGCCCGAGGCGAGGCTCGCCTCTCGAGCCCTCAGCGTCAGGCCCCTATATGCCGCCACGCTGGTTCCGGGCAGGCTGCGCTGTCCGGCGGAAGGGGACGAGGAGGGGAGAAGCAGGCAGACGACGACGAACGCCCAGGCGGGAGGCCAGGGCCGGCGGGGCGGGCGGGCAGGCAGAAGACGGGCCAGGCGGAGACAGCAGGCAGGGAGCAGGAGGAAAGGAAAGGGAGGGAAGCAACGAGCAGAAGCGAAGGGAGGGGGAGGAGGGGGAGGAGGACAAGGAGGAGAGAAAGCAGCGGCCGCAAGCAGACAGGCCGGGCCGGGGGCCGGGAGAGAAGAGCCGCCCGCGACGAGGCTGCGGACCCTACGGCGGCGACCTGGGCGGGGTGGCCGCCCGAACCCAGCGCGATGCGGCTTGGTGGGGATTGCCCTCTGCGGGATCCATCCACCGCCCCGCCGGGGAAAGGCCGGGCGGCGCGTGGGAGGGGTCGCCGGCGCGACGTTGGCGAAAATGCGAGGGGAACGCCCGCGCTGCCCAGCAAGGGCGGGGGGGGGGGGGGCGGGGGGCGCTAGGCAGCGCAGGGGGCACCTCACACGGCGTCTGCCGTGGAGGCCGCCGTGGCCGCGGCCAGGCGGGCCGCTGCCACCCCCGCCCCTCCAGACAGGGTCTGAAGGCGCCGCAACACCGCCCGCGCGTTCTCCCTGTGTAGGGAGACGGAAAGTCGCTGGGCATGTTGGTCCGCAACCAGTGCGGCGTCTTCCCCCGTGGCGTCAGCCACCCGCTTGGCCAGGACCCCGAAGGCCCTGCGTGCCTCGCGGCCCCACCCGCCGCCGTGGGCTGTCACCACCACGGGGAGGAAAGTGAAGCCCTGTGCCGCGCAGAGCCGCGCGGTGTTCTGGTGTTGCCATTTGAACTCCTCGTACCGCTCCGTCGCTGCGCTTGACGAAGCGGCCGACGCGGCGAGGAGATCGGCGCGCAACCCTGACGTGGCGGCAAAGTCCCAGGCGGCCGCCGTGCCGTTGCGCCACCGCGGCAGGTAGACGTCGGCAGGGCAGCGGCCGTTGTCGTCCACCTGGGACCCGCCCTGCTCGCCCCCGGGGGTGGCCTCCCCGGCGGGGCGCGCGGGTAGCAGCCCCGGGCGCTCCAACTCCGCCCCGGCGAGGCCGGCGGCCAGGGCGTCGAAGAAGGCCTGGTTGCGCAGGGCTTTGTGGCGTTTGGTCCGATCGCAGCGGCAGGCGCAGACCAGGGCGTGGTCGCAGAAAACGTCCATCACCTCGCCACAGGCTGGGCAGAAGCACTCCTCCTGCAGGAGCTGGACTCGCAGCCGCCTCTGCAGGCCGACCTGCATGAGGCCGTGCGGGAAGGCGGCGCCGGTGGCCTCGCAGGGCGGCGCCTGGAGCCACGCGGCCGCGCCTGGGGCTTGCACCAGAGAGAGGTGCGCCTTGCCGGTCTGGGTGGAGCCCGCCAGAAGTCCGTCGAGCGAGGCGCTGTCCACTGCGTGCCTTCTGGTTGCCGTGCTGCGCGTGGTCGAACACCACCCGGTCGACGTCCCGCACGACTGCGTTGTGGGCCTGCACCGCAGCCGCCAGGCTACCTCCCTCGCGGTCGGGGTTGTTGGAGTAGCCAGGGTAGAGCTGCCGACAGAGGTCGGTGCTCCTCGCTCTGGAAGCGATGTAGGCGGCGGCGGCGTGCTTCGCGGCAGAGCGCAGGCCAAGTCCTCCCTTCCTGAGCTTTAGCTGAGCCTGCTGCCAAGAAGCGTCGGAGGGCGAGCAGCCGCTCAGTTGCTCAAGGCAGGCCCGGACAGCGTCGTCCATGGCCAGCAGGGAGGCGGCGTGCGCGGTGGGCGGCACCACGCGCGCGGAGTAGCCCAGCTTGCAGAAGGAGCCGCACTGGCGCAGGAGATGCAGCGCGACCTGCACGTTTTCGAGCTCCCCCAGAGCTTCCAGCAAGTCGGTGGCGCTCGCGACCCGCTGCTTGGTGTGCTCCGCGCAGAAGTCCGCGTCTCCCACTGGCGCGCCGAGCAGCTCGAAGCTGCGATCGGTGCGGAGGCGGAAGCCCGGCGGGAAGACGCCCAGAGACACGTCGGAGGCGTCTCTGCCAGTGGGGACCACCTCACACTTGCCCGGGCCTGTGCTCATCAGCTGGAGGCCCACCGCGGCAAGGCTGGCCACGAGCAAGTGGAGGAGGCGCGCGACGGCCGGCGCGTCGCCCGCGAGGCAGCCGTCGTCCAAGTAGAAGAAACTCAAGTCGACGGCGCCGTCGGCGCCGTGGCGCGGCGCGCGAAGGGCGGCCTCGGCGGCGCGCTGTAGTGCTAGGGAGAACAGTAGGGGCCCCAGGGGGTCGCCCTGCTGCACCCCGCACTCGGAGCGGACTGTCTGTTTGCCCAGGAAGAGAGTTGACGGGCGGGAGTAGCACCAGTCGGCCCAGGGTGCCAGCCCGGGAAGCTCTTCGTGGACCGCGCGGAGCAGAGCCTGCCTGTCCAGGGTGTTGAAGGCGCTAGACAAGTCCAGCTTCACAAACACCTTTCCCCGGTCCCCGAGGTGGCGGGTCCACCACTGGCGCGCGACGTGCACCAGGAGGCCCTGCTGGGCATACTCTTGGAGCGCTATGGGGGACTTTTGGAAGGTATTGTGACCGGCTGGAGGCCGTCTTGAGCTGTGTTGGGCCCTCTGAGGTCGTCTGGACACCATCTTGAGTAATCTTGAGGCCGTCCTCGGCCGTGTCCGAGGCAACTCCGGCGAACTTGGAGGCCTCTTGGACTCGTTTGGGCCGTCTGGGAGGCGTTGGCCCTCCCAGCGGGCCCTCGCGACAGGCTCCCCTGGGCGCTGCCACCAGAGCAACACACCACGCGCTGCTGCCAGTATTGTAGGATTCGGGTAGGGGATCAACTACAGAATTCGTTTACCCCCAAATTGGTTTTCTCGTCGAATGCACCAAAGACATACGTGGAACGCTCGTAGATCATGCCACGGATTTTCCGTAGAGTCCGCGAGAAAATAGATTCTGCGGTAAACACATTCTGTAGTCGACCCCCTACCCGGAGGAACGACGACGTCGAGGCCCACCCTCGCCTCCCATACCTCGCTCAGCAGCGCCAGCGCCTGCCGCCACTGCTCGCCGTTCCCGCACGCGCTGATGCCAGACCCGTAGCTGACGATGCTGCGCTCCACCCTCGCCTCCCACATTTCGCTCAGCAGCGCAAGCGCCCGCTGCCACTGCCGGCCCTTCTCGCACGCGCTGATCCCAGTATTGTAGCTGACTAGGGCAGACCTGTGGACTCCGTCCACGACATCAGCTCGACGTGGCGAGGGGTCTCTGGGCAAGCGCGGCGTGCCTGTCGCCTCTCGTCCGCTCCCCCGCTCCTGGAAGGAATTCTGAAGCCACTGAAGGCTTCGTGGGGGCCGTCTCGGAGCCTCTTCGGCCTTCTTTTGAGCCTCCCGTGGGGGCTCTTAGGGCCCTCTTGGGCCGTCTTGGGTGCCTCTTGGGCCGTCTTGGGACCGTCTGAGTCCCGCCTGGGCGCCTCTGGGGCTGTCTTGGGCCGTCTTGGGCCGCTCCTGGGGCCGTCTTGGGCGCCTGTTGGGCCGTCTTGGGCGCCTCCTGGGCCGTCCTGGGGCCGTCTCGGGCCGCTCTTGGGACCGGCATGGGGCCCGCTTGGCCCGTCTTGGGCTCTATTGGGGGCCTCTTCGGCCGTCTTGGAGCGGTCTTGGGGACCTCTTGGGCCGTCTTGGAGCGTCGGGAGGCCGAAAAGGCGAGAAGGCCGAAACCATCGGAAAACACAATGGAAATCGACGTTTTTTGCTGATCGGGGCCCTCTTGGGAGGCGTCTTGGGAGGCCTCTGGGGGCGTCTTGGAGGCCTGTGGAGCCGTCTTGGGCCAATCTCGGGCGTCTTGGGCCCATCTTGGGGCGTGCCAGGGCCCTCCGAGGCCGTCTTGGGGGATTTTTGGGGCCCTCTTGGCGTGTCTTGGGGGATTTTTGGGGCCCTCTTGACGTGTCTTGGGGCCTCCCTGGGCGGCCCGGGGCCAGCCCAGGGCGGTTTCGGTGCATTGGGGCCTGCGCCATTCTGGCACGCACTGGGCCCTGCAATGTAGTAGAGACTACGGCTGACCCGTGGACTACCGTCCACGCATGCCCGAGGATTGAGCGTGCGCTCGTTGCTGCTTACTGCTTCAGGGTGCGCTGTTTGCTTGATGATCCTGACTGCGTCTGGAGCAGCGCTAGCAGCAGCAGCAGCAGCAGCAGCAGCAGCAGCAGCAGCAGCAGCAGCAGCAGCAGCAGCAGCAGCAGATCCAGCACCATCGGCAGTAGCAGCAGCAACAGCTGCAGCAGCAGCAGCAACAGCAACAGCAGAAGCAACGCGGACCTCATGGGGCCTCCAGGGGCCTTCTCGTCCTCGTCCTCCTCGTCCTCGTCGTCGTCGTCGTGGTCGTCGTCGTCGGCGGCGTCGTCGCCGCTGTCGTCGTCGTCGTCGTCGTCGTCGTCGTCGTCGTCGTCGTCGTCGTGGTCGTCGTCGTCGTGGTCGTCGTCGTCGTCGTCGTCGTCGTCGTCGTCGTCGTCGTCGTCGTCGTCATCGTGGTCGTCGTCGTCGTCGTTGTCGTCCTCCTCGTCCTCATGCTCCTCCTCCCCTCCTCCTCCTCCTCCGTCTTGTCCCCTTCCTCCTGTCCAGCCTGCTGCTTGTCGTGCCAGCAGTGCCGCGTGCTGTACTGTAGCAAGCTGTTCCCAGCGGAGGCATTGGAAAAGCGGCGGGGGGGCCCTCCGATACCCTAGTGGGGGTCCTCGTGGGGCTCTGTGGGAGCCTCTGGAGAGCCTCTGGGAGCCTCTTGAAAGCTCTTGGGGGCGCCTCTGAAGCCTTCTGGGAGCCTCTGGAGAAAGCCCGGGGGCCTCTTGGGAGCGCCTCCGGGGCCTTCGAGGGGCCTCTCGGGGGCGTCTTGGAGCCTTGCTGGCCGTGGAGAGGCCCGGAGGGGGGGGAAGCGCTCCGAACTGGACACGCTTGGGCGTCCCTTGGGGCCGTCTGGGCAGGTTCTTGGGCCGTCTTGGGAGCCCCGGAGATCGATCGGGGGCCTCTGGGGCCGTCTTGGGAACTCTCTTGGAGGCCCCCCGGGCAGAGCATGGGCCCAGGCCTACCCTGGGGCTTCAAGCGGGTCCTCTGTGACCCTTCGGGCCTCTCTGGAACTTCTCTTGGGGCCCTCCGGGATCGTCTTGGGGACGTCTTGGAACCGTCTTGGAGCTTTCTTGGGCCGTGTTGGGGCGTTCTCGGGAGCCTCTGGGACCGCCCTGGCACAATCTGTGAGGCCCCTGAGGCCGTCTTGGGAGGCTGAAGCCCGAAAAGGGTAGAACACGAAAAACATGCGCAGTTGTGAATACCGCGTTGTGGGTACCGCTCTCGGTGGAGCTCCATATGGGGCCACGAACCTGGTGAGGGGTGTGATTTTGGCATGTGTCTCGTCTCGGTGGAGCTCCGTCTCGGTGGAGCTCCATATTTTGGCATGCTTCAGGGTCTCCAAGCGGTTGTCATCCAACGAGGCAGCTCCCCCAGTGCAGAATGAACCGTTGTAGGGGTCTATGAAAATGGAGCTTGGAGGGAGGGTTCACCCCAACATCGTTGATGACTCTTGGGTTTACACTGGTCCTCCTCCTCCTCCTCCTCCTGGTCCTCCTCCTCCTCCTCAGGAGGAGGCCCAAGATGATTGAAAGAAAAACGCACCCCCCACGACACGCTCGGCGCGGAAAGCGTCGAAGAAACAGCGCTCTGGGGTGTCAGCGGCTGCACCGGACAGCCAGTTCCTGCAACCGCTCCCGCGCGCGAAGTGTCCCAGGAGATGCGGGGTGTGTTTTCGTTCCCATCATCTGATGTTTTCTACGAGCCTACCAGAGCCATTTGGAGGGAGCTGGTGGAGGCCTTCTAGGAGCATGTCAGAGCCGCTTCGAGGGAGCCTCTGGGAAGTGCCCCGGGGGCCGCCTGGGAGCCTCCGGGGGGGCTCCTTCGGGGCTGTGCCATCGGCAAGCCCTTTTGCGCTGCAGAGCGGCGCGCTGGGAGCCTTGCGGGCCACTCGCGGGGCCCTCTTGAAGCAAGACGTCGGCGCCCCAGGAGCGGAGCCGCGGAGGCGCCAGGGAGGGAAGGCCTCGACCGGCCCTTCTGGTACGCGCAATGCCCGGAATTGCAAGTCCGCCGATCCGGCGTGAGTTTCTGAGAGCGTGGACTTGAGCTCGCTCAAGCTTCGCTCTGCATGGGGGGGGGAGCACGTTATTTCCGACGTCATTTCCGACGTTTTTTAATACACGGGGATAGTTCCGACGTGATTTCCAACGTTTTCCGGTACCCAGGGACAGGGGGGTATCGGAGGTTGGGGGGTGAGATCGAAGTGGAACGGAGAGCCCCCCTACCGGGAAATCGATTTCGGTTTCGTGTTCGTGCGTGCCGTGCGGGCGAGGCGAAGCTGCGTGGGCGGGCGAGAGAAAGTCTCCTGTGGCTGAGGCGCGGCCGGAGCAAAAGAACCTTGACCGGGCGGCCGGTGCCCCGCGGTGTCCCGCCGGTGTCCCGCTGGTGTCCCGTGTGGCTGAAGCGCGGCCGGGGCAAAAGAACCTTGACCGGGCGGACCGGGGCCGCGCGGTGTCCCGCCAATGTCCCGCTGGTGTCCCGTCGGTGTCCCGATGACGACGTGGATGATTATGATGATGATGATGACGATGATGATGGTGATGATGATGATAATGATGATGATGATGATGATGATGATGATGTTGACTAATATAATGCCCCCACCAGGGAGGCCGCCACGGAGAGATCGACAGGGCGAGAGGGGAACGGTCGGGCCACGGCCCGTCGCACCTGGACGATGTATTTTCCACTCTCCAGGCGACCACGTCGCTGGCGACTTGTGTGAGAGAGAGGCTAGCCACTCCGAGGGGCCGCCGGCGTCTGAGGTCCAGGAACGCCGGGGCCGAAAAGGCGTCGGCCAACCAAGTCCAGCAGCTCATTAACAGAACATTAACAGTACCTATATGCAAAGGGTGGCACGCGGGCGGGGAGCAAAGAGGGGCTGTAGAGAGTTCTGTTCAGCCGTATCCTGGTACGGCACACGGTGGGGAAGGCCCGCTGGACAACACATAGCGCGCGAGCACGTACAATGTTGACTAGTATAATGCCCCCACCAGGGAGGCCGCCACGGAGAGATCGACAGGGCGAGAGGGGAACGGTCGGGCCACGGCCCGTCGCACCTGGACGATGTATTTTCCACTCTCCAGGCGACCACGTCGCTGGCGACTTGTGTGAGAGAGAGGCTAGCCACTCCGAGGGGCCGCCGGCGTCTGAGGTCCAGGAACGCCGGGGCCGAAAAGGCGTCGGCCAACCAAGTCCCATATCACAGACTGGAGAGCAGCTGGGGAGAAATTCCCATAACACTCCACTGGCCCACGGCCGCAAAGAAACTACTCACGCTAGAAAAGAGAGACCGCGAGCCTCGGCCTTGCAGGCAGCGGACCGGACAGCAGGCGGAAGCTTGCGGATGGCCGCGAGGAGGCGGCCAGCCTTCTCATACCTCTGCACGCTGCGAAACGAGGCCCAGCGCCCGCGCGCCTGGATCTCGGGCAGCGTCCTGGCACGGCGGAGGAAGTCCTCACTGGGCCCCCCGTGCCTGGCGAGGTGAGGCGTGACTTTGAAAGGGATGCCGACGGCCCGGGCGGCCCGCTGCAGCACTTTATTGTACGAGGCATACGTGTGGCTAGGGAGCAGCGTCTGCGAGCGGGCACGGCGGGCCTGGCGGATGAGCGCAGCGAAGGCACCGACTACGCCAGGTCGACTGGCTTCATCAAGGAGGACGGTGTCATCCTGCACGCCGGTCTTGCTGGTACGGATGCCGATGAGCTGGCCGGCCACCTGGCTGGACGGCGCGACAACCATCCCGTACTTGTTGTAGTGAACCCCAGCGTGCATGCCCGGCGTGAAGCACGCGACCAGAGGCATGAGCACCAGCTCCGAGGGCCGCAGGTAGGTGTCGAACTGCACAACGAGGCCGCGGGCGGCCTCGAGGTCGGACTCGACGCCGGTCCGCGACAGGTGGTACGCCATCAGCACAGCGGCCGACCACGGGAGGGGATCCGAAGTCGAGTCAGGCTCCAGCTTGCCCCAGCCAGCCATGGCAGCGCGAGCGAGCGGGAGGACCCCAGGCTGGCGGAGGCTGACGTTGAAATGGTCGGCGACAGCCGCCAGCGCATACCGAGCATCGCCCCGCGACCGCTCGGCTACGAAGAGCTCCTCGAGGAAGCGGTCGAGGGCGGCGTCGACGGCAGGGAGGTCGCGGGCGGTCCAGCGCGCCGGGTCCAGGCCCATCTGCGCGGCGAACTCGTGCAGGCTGGCGTGGTACCGCTCGGCGGTCGTGGCGGTCACCCTCGAGCGCCGGAGGAAGCCAGGGTTGTAGTCAGCGGGCTCTCGCCGGACGCGAGGCCGCCGCGCGGCAACGGCAGCGGCGGGGCGTCGGCGCACCGGCCCGCGGCCCTCGGACGGAGCCTCCTCCAGCGGGGGGCCTCGGGGGCCCCCAGACGCCGCCCCACTGCTCGGCGTCCGACCTCCAGAGCGGGGCCCAGCGCGAGGGACAGGTCGGGCACGGGAGCGCCCGAGGACCGAAGTCGCAGCCCGCCGCCCGGCAGAGATCAGCCTGCCATCGTTCCTCGAGTAGTGGAGCACCATCTGGCCTCTTGGCGCCGCGCGGCGCCGCCGCTGCCAGGATGCTGGCAGCGAGATGGCAGGCGCCCGGGGGGTACGCGCCGGCCAACGTGGTCTTCCACTGAAGCTTGAGCCCTCCCGTGGGCGCACGGACACGTACCTTCCCAGACAAGTGCTCGTGCCTGTGGCCCCCTTCGCAGAGCAGGCCGATGTCGTGCAGGGCCCCCAGACTTGAGACGATAGTGGTGGGCTTCTTGTAAGGCGCGCCGAACCGGCAGCAGTGGTAGGTAGCCCAGGAGCGCGAGTGCTGGTCCAAGAACTTCCGGAGTGGGGCCCATCGGAAGAGGCCCGAGGACTGAGGGTTCTCAAGAGACCAGTGGATCCCGTAGCGGCTGCAGACCTCCAAGAGACGCACCGTGACGTGAGCACACCGTCGGGCCGCCCTGATGGCGGAGACCTCGCGAGCCCCTCGCCGAGAGATGGACCACGGGGTGCACGGGGTGCCGAAGTGGACGAACCAGACGGCCCGGGAGGTGATCCAGGAACGCACCTGAGACTCGACCTTCGGGTTGAGGAGGTCGCACCAGGGCCCGTGCTTGATGTCCATGGGGGCCGCGACGACGAGGCCCGCCTGGGCCAGGGCACCGGTCCAGCGCCCGCAGCCCGAGAAGACCTCCAAGGCAGCCCGGGGTCGCGGAGCCCGCGCAGCGGTCGGCGTAGTGAACGCAGACGTAGCAGGAGGCCGAGGCGACAGACCGTGATCTGACGTTTCATCCACTCGAATTGGCTGCATCCTGGGCCCACACCGGCCCCAGCGGCCGGCCGAGCCACGACAGGGCGGCGGCCGGCGGCGGGCGGAGCCCGCGCCTGCGAAAGCGTGGCCGCCACGCGGCCGCCTCGGCCAAACCACCGAGGGCGCCGGGAGGCCCGGCGGGGGCGCGAGCCAGGCGGGCTTGCGCGGCCCCTGCCGGCCTCGCCGAAGGAGCACGTCACGCGGGGGGGCCGGCACGCACCTGGGGTGCCTCGGCGGGCCGTCGCGGGGGAGCGGCCGAGGGGTGTGACGGCAGAGGTCTGAATCCTCCCCCCCTCGTCGGCACGCTGGGTCCCCCGCGACGGCGGGCGGTGCCAAGGCGCCGGCAGCCCGAGCGGGGCCCGCAGCGCCAGCAGCCTGTCCCAGGGGCGGCGGCGGGGGCGGGGCCGCACCAGGCCGTCCCGCAACCCCAGCGGCGCCGGCGCCAGGTCCCACGCGACGCTGCCCAGGGCGGTACAACCCCTGCAGGGCCTTGCGCGAACCACCATCGCTGACGTTCCTCCCTGTGTCGAGGTATCGGCGCCGCCAGCGGATGCCGGTGGCCACCTGGATGGCGGCACTGCGCCTGCACACGGAGCCGAGGCCGACGTCGACGGCGCGGCCCTTCTCGGTCGAGAGCACCTCGGCCATGTTGTCCCCGAGGCTGAGGACGCGGCGCCCGTGGCACTCGAGGCTCCTGGAGGCGTGCCGAAGCCCCGCGAGGGCGATCCGGGCCTCCAGGATATGGATGGGCGCCCGCGTCCTCCATGCACCCTCCACGACCAGCGACCAGGCTTCTGGGGCGACGAGCTCGTCGGGGATGTCCTCGAAGGTCGCGCGCCGCGGTGCCTGTGCAACCCGAGCCCGCACGGTGCCGTGGGGGCGCTCGTCGGCCCTCCTCGGCGGCGGGGCCCAGGTCGCGATGCCGCAGCTGGGGTCCCCCTCACCGAGCACCCCTCCAGCGCCAGGAAGCCAGCCGGGCGTGTAGGTGTCGTCCTCCAGGGCCTCGGGCCGCTTCTCGTCGGGCGTGAAGCGCCAGCGCTCCCGAAGGCGCGCGAGTCGGCGCACCGCCTCGGGGTCGCAGCGCCGGCGGTGTAGGGCGTAGCCCGCCTCGGAGGAGTCGGAGCAGAGCACGATGTCCGACACGGGCGCGGCGAGGTCGACGACCGCCTGGAAGATGAGCCCTCGGAAGACGCGGACCTCCTGTCGAGCGGGACTCGGTAGAGGGGAAGGCGGCCCGAGCCGGCACTCGTCCACGTACCTGTAGAGGTGGCGGAAGATGGACATGGCCGGCCGCAGGAGGAGGCAGTGCTGGATGAAGTGTCCGAGGACGACCCGCACCTGCCACGCGGCACGGGGCACGCCCGGGCGCTCCAGCTCCAGGCAGGCGAGGTAGAGCCGCCAGGCCCGCTCGTCGGAATGACGCAGAGTCCGACGGACGCCATCATACTCCACGCCCACCATACCGAACTCGAGGGACGGCTCGCAGACCTCGTGGTACACGATGCCCCGGCGGTCGAGCTCCTCCATGACACTGGCCAGGCCCGCCGCGGCATCGGCGGCGGAGAGACCCAGGATCCCCACGTTGTCGACGTAGACGGAGCCGGCGGGCCTGCCAGGGGCCGCCGGGCGCGGCGGCTGACGGTCCAAGACGAGGCTCGCAGGCCCGCCCGTGAGCGCGTGACCCACCCACGAAGTGACCGAGGAGTGAACGACCCAAAGGGCCCAGCTCCAGCCCATGGCGACGCCACGGAAGGCGGGGAACACCACGTCGTCGGCGCCGACGGGGATGAGGCGGCCGTCCTCCCAGACGTGCGTCGCCCCGTACACCGACGCGGGCTCGGGGTAGTCCATGCCGAAGTCCTCGGCGAGGGCGTCCGAGCAGAACTGGTAGAAGCTGTCGGCCAGGTCGAGCGAGGCACCGTAGATGGCGGGCGCCGAGGTCGCGTCGGAGGCTCCCAGGGCAGCGTCCGCCCAGTCCTGCTCCGCCAGCGCGGCCGGGGTCCCGAGGGCAGCGTGCGGTGGGCTCCAGTGGGTCCGGTTCGTCTCGCGGGCGTCGACCACGAGCCTGATGAACCCCCCCTTCTTCTCGACGAAGAAGCAGCCCACGCGAGCACGAATGCGCCGACGGTAGCCGACAAGGCCTCGTTCCGCCAGGCGGCGGACAAACCTGACCCGCGCGTCGGGCGAGCCAGCGAGGTGAGGGTCCCAGTAGGGCACGATGGGGTCGAGCCCCTCCGCATCAGCCAAGAAGACCCTGTCCGGCTTCCGCACGTACCGATCGGGGTCGGCGAAGGCGCGGACGACGAAGTCGGGGCAGATGTCCTCGACGCGCTTCGGGACGATCTTCGACTTCCAGAACTTGAGCTTGTCCTCGCTGTAGGGTGCGACCTTGGAGGGCGCCCCGGCGTACAGCGAGTCGGACTTGAGGAGCTCCTGAAGGGCTCCGCGAGGTGTGAGCCCAGGCGGCCGTGGGCCGTGCCGGCCGATGTTGCGACGCAGGTGAGCGAGGCAGCTGGCCTGCGTGGCGGAGGGCGCGCCGGGCGTGGTGGAGCCACGGGCTGGCACGCTGCCGAACCCGTGGACCGAGGCACGGGAGAGGTCGTTGATCGAGCGAACGGCCTCCCGAAGTCGGTGTTCGCGACAGCGTCGACGTACGGCACGGAGGGCCAGATACCTCGGCGCGTCGGCCAGGTCCACGAACCCGGAGGGCTGCGGGACCGGAAGTGGCAGAGGCTCACCGTGACGACGATGATCGCGACGAGCCATGCCCAAGAAAACAAAACTGCGGACGTGGAGGAGCCCACGCCGAAAAGGCCGGCCCAGCGACGCGGGGCGGTGAGCCCGCGGGCTGGGACGGCAGGGCAGGGGGCCCCACGCCCGCCTACCCGCTGCCCTCCTTCTTGGGGTGCTTCGGCGGCTTGTCCTTCGAGCCGCTCGCCGAAGTCTCCTCCCGCCACTGCCTCCCCGCCTTCATGATGGCCGCCTCGGACCGCTGCTGCTCGCCGACCCAGGCGTCGAAGGCCGGGAGCACGAACCCGCCGGACTCGTAGATGGCGGCGTCCAGCACCACGTCGAGCCCGTCGAAGTCGGGCTGCCTCGGGTTGCGCCTGGTGGCAGCCTCGAGCTGCTTCAAGCGGCGCACCATGTACTCCACCCCCGCCACGTTGTAGAGGTCCAGCTGGTCGAACTGCTGCATGATGCGGAGCACGGAGCAGAGCATCCGGTGCTCGCGGGCGGTGTTGCTCTTCTCCGGGATGCCGGACCTCCTGACCCACGTCGTGTGGTGTTCGTCCCAACCCTCCTGTCCGGCATCCCGAAGGGCGAGGCAAGCCTCGCGCGTAGCCCGCTTCCCTTTGAGGGGCCACCCAGGGATGGCCTGCTCTCGCATCTTCGAGACGGAGGTGCGGAAGCTCATGAAGCGATCCTTCTCCTCGTCCCGCTCGTCGCCAGCGATGCGCGGGTCCCGACCAGGACCTCCACGCGCCCGAGCCTGCCACTCCTCGAAGGAGCCGCCGGCCTCGACACGCACCGCCGTCTGCCAGACGTCGTCGATCAGCACGAGGCCCACCTCGCCCCGGCGGATGAGCACCTCGTCGTTGCCCACGGAGGCCGCGGGCACCTCTTCGCCATAGTGGGGCGAGGTCGGGTCCGAGACGAACCACCGCTCGTCCCGCGCGAGGGGGGCCGCTGAGGCGGGGTACCCGAGGATGTCCCCCAGCGCCCGCGCCTCGCGGTAGTACTGGTGCATCTCCTCGGCGTCCACATCGGCATCGTCGAACACGTACATGTTGCCACGGTAGCGGTCGGGGAAGGCCCCCCCACGCTGGAGGGCGCACACTCGGAAGCCCCCCAGGTTGGCCGCCGCGATCTCGCCGTCGGGAGTGACCCACACCCACCATTGGTCCGGCCCCTTGACGAGGAGGACCCTGTGGTGCCATTGGAAGTTCTCGTCGTCGTCGTACCGCACGAGGCACTGGGCGTACGGAACGTCAAGCGCCCTCGGCATTCACGGCACCAGCCCGCCTCCGCACTCGCTGGAGGGACGCCGGCGTCGCCGCACCCACGAGCTCCCCAGCAGGACCCTCCGCGAGGGCCAGCGGCGGCAGGACCGCGCGAGGCGGCCCCGCCCGAAGCAGCCAGGCAGCCGCGGCGGCCACCCCGGCGGCGAAGCTCGCGAGCCCGACGAGGACCACGAGCACCCCGGCCCCGGACGGAGCCGCTGGGGCCGGGCACTGCGGGCACACGCAGGCCGGGCACGCGGGGCAGGCCGCCCCGAGGTGCTCCGGGCCGCAGCGCGAGAGCTGCTCCCGGAGGATGTCCAGCACGCCCGAGCCCGGCTCGTGCCCGCTGAAGATGCAGGTGCAGGACGGGTCCGCGGGCGGAGCCGGCGCAGACCAGCGGGACGCGAGGATCCCAAGAACCCAGCCAGCCGCCGCCTGCATGCACGAAGCGGCGAGACTGGTGCCCAAGAAATCTTGAGCAAAGAGGGGCTGTAGAGAGTTCTGTTCAGCCGTATCCTGGTACGGCACACGGTGGGGAAGGCCCGCTGGACAACACATAGCGCGCGAGCACGTACAATGATGATGATGATGATGATGATGATGATGTTGATGATGGCGATGATGATGATGGTGTCGTTGATGATGATGACGATGATGATGATGATGATGACGTCGATTGTGAGATCGATTGTGATATCGATAGTGAAACCGACTGTGAAATCGATTGTGCGATGCTGATGGTGATGATGGCCATGATGGTGATGATGTTTGTGATGATGATGATGACGACGTTGATGATGATAATGCTGATGATGATGCGGACGATGATGATGGTGTTGATGGTGATGTCGATGATGATGATGACGACGTCGATAGTGATATCGATTGTGAAATCGGTAGTGAGACCGAATGAGACAGCGAATGAGGTCTTCTCTCAGGTTCTCCTCCACCACGCACCCCTCGGTTCTGGACCTCTCGACACCAACGCCCCCAAGAGCGAGCGGCAACGCAACTATCTCCACTGGCACTGTCACAACAACATTCACCACTGTTGCCCATTGCTGGCCCCCCCCCCCAACCTCCTTATCACCCGCAGGGTGGCCGTATAGGTAGAAAACTCAACTTCCGGAGCCCCGACCGCCCAAGACAGTCCAAGAGGAAGCCACAAGAGGCCCCAGAGGCCCCCTAGACAATGCAAGAGGTCCCCGAATCGCCGAAACATCTCTCGAACCGCCCAAGATGCCCCAAAGACAGTTCCAGAAACCTCCAAGACGTCCCCAAGTCTCACCCCCCCCAGATCGGCGGCACTGGCCGGCGGCAGCCCAATAAAAGGACTAGGGCTGACCCGTGGACTACTCTCCACGAGTGCCAGTGGTCAGAGCGCGCTTGCTGCTGCTCGTTGCTTCAGGGCGCGTTGATAGCTTAATGGTTTAATCGGCGTCCAAAGCTCGGGGACAGAACCCCCTTTAGTAAAACGTGGTTTAGTGAAAACGACCTCGGGCCCAAACCTGGCGGGCAGCCTGGAAAATGACGGCCGCGGTGCCCTCTCGAGAGCCGAAAACGGACAATTCACTAATTGACGCGTCAGGGTGGGTTTTCTGTCCACCCCCGAAAAGCAACACTTGCAGTAGCAGCGGCAGCAGATCCAGGGGCATGGGCAGCAGCAGCAGCTCCAGCGGCAACAGCAGCAGTGCGGCTCCAGTAGCAGCGGCAGGCAGCACCTCTAGCAGCAACAGCAGGAGCGCCTGTGACGGAGGAGGGCGACGACGGGGAGGAGGAAGAAAAACCCTAGATGATCAGACAAGACACACACACACACACACGCACACCACACACACCTCTTGGGACACACTCGGCGCGGCAAGGGTCACAAAAGCAGCGTTCCTGGGTGTCCGCGGCTGGATCGGATAGCTGCTTTCTGCAACCCCTCCCACTCGAGATGTGTCCCAAGAGGTGTGGAGTGTGGTTTTTTCCCTTCGACTGGGGCCGCCAGGAGCATGTCAGAGCCGTTTCGAGGAAGCTGCCGTAAGCTTTCCGGAAGCCTCTGGGGAGTGTCCCAGAGGCCGCCTGGGAGCCTCTCGGGGACTTGTTCGGGGATAGTTGTTCGTCCCCGTGGCCCTCTCGGAAGCCATATGGGGAGCCGCGTGGAACCTGGTGGAGGCTTGCTCGGGCCGCCTGGGAGACCTCGCGCTGCACAGGGGCCGCCCTGGAGGCCTCACGGGCCACTCGCGGGGCCCCCATCGGGGCAGAACTGCCGGCGCCCCAGGAGCGGGGCCGCAGAGGCGCCGCAGAGATGGGATGGCCAGTGGGCCCGTCTGACACGGGCACTGCCCAGCACCGTGGAGGTGGTGAGGGTGGGCCCGTGGATGTCCGTCCACTAAGTTTGCGGGAAGCAGGAGGGTGAGTGTGGGCATGCTGCCGAAAGGCCAGAAGTTAGGACGTGGGGCTCAGCCCTCTCATGCCGCGCATGCTGCTGCGTGCTGGTGCTTGATGCCTCTGGTGCGTGCTGTTGGTAGTGAGTTCCGCAGCTGCGTCTCTTTGTTGTGGTTTGGCTGCGAGGTGCTGCTGATGGTCAGTTCTGCCTTGTGCATGCTGCCGACCGCTGCCTGCTGCTGCTGGTGCTGCTGATGGTGCTGCTGCTGGTGCTGCTGCTGCTGCAGGTGCTGCTGCTGCTGGTGCCGCTGCTGGTCTCGCAGTCGTTTGATGTATATACTGGTTTAGCAGAAGTGCTACGCACACAAAGGGGAATCGGTACCTCGGAGTCGTGTCAACCCCTCTCTGAGACAGCCTTTTCCTCTCGTGGCACACCTCTCGCGTGCGCAGCATAAACGAGCGCCAGGCTACGAACTGGCATGGTTTACGTCGTCACCTTCTCGCTTCAGCCAAAACTCAAATATATAATGATGACGGCGATAGTACTGGACAAAGATATGAGCACAACACATGCGAGCACCGTGCGCGCGATCACACATGCAATCAAGATGCAGCACATACAAAAGAGAAGGAAGAGGCGAAAAGCGCTGGCGAGCAGATGCAGCAAGTTCGAATCAAACTCGAACGCCGCATTGAGGATGAGCTCGCCTGGCGGAGCGTAAAGGGAGGCAAACACTGTCCGAACAAAATATGATGCTGCTGCTGCTGCTGCTGCACCCACCACATACTTATGAACAGCAGCTAAAAGTACGGAGTGCACGAGCAGAAAACTGATTACTCGAGCTGTCATCTCACCGATAGGAGAGCATTCGAGGCCGAGGTTCACTGCATCACAGGTTACTGCCAGGGGCATCCACAGAATCCACAAGGCACGTTGGACACGCCTCCACACTCTCCGCAATATACGGTTGATGCGTTTGAACTGCATCGGCCTCTGCTCTCGATCTCACGAACGGGGCAATGAGGACGATTCTGGTAGGTTGAGTCTCCACCAAGTCAGTCAAGCCGTCGATTCAATCTTATTCACAAGCTGGTCGATCTTCTGGCGCTTGTTGACTCCCGTCGTTTTGCTCAGCCCTGAAGACTCGAGCCACTGGTTGAGGCTGCGTGAGCTTCGGCACCGAGGCGAGCTTCTGCAGTTATCCCTCACGGCCCTGTGGCCTCTCACTCACATCCCAGTCGGGCAGGAGCTGCTGTGTGGGCGTGCGGATGCCATCGGTGATGCCGGCATCCGCTCTCGGCGCCTCCTCGACGTCGAACGCCGGTGGCACGGGCAGACGCTTGCGCCGCTCACGCGCAGGCTCTCCTGCGCACGCACCGCCGTCAGAGGTAGCTGAGCGGGCCGTCTTCCTCTGGAGCTCCGCGACGGCCTTCGTCAGCTTCTCGATCTGCTCATCCTTCTCGAGGCTGCTCAGATCATCTGCACCTGCAGCCTCCCTCTTCTGAAGCTGCGCCATCATCTTCTTCAGTGCAGCTGCGTTGCCCTCGTTCTCGTCGTCGTTCGTCTTCTTCTTCTTATGCTTGTCCTTCTTCTTCTTCTTCTGCATGAACTGCTTGTACATCTGCTTCATCTGCTTGAGGTTGATCGCATTGCCACTTGCGCTGGAGGCGTCAGAGGATGTCGTAGCGGACGAACTGGTAGTAGACGCGTCGGAGTCCTGCTTCTTCAGCACCTTCGTCTTCGCAAACTGGAGGAAACTGAAGGGCTTGTCTTTCTTGCCATGCTTCTTCTTGTCAATGCTCTTCTTGATCTTGCTCTTGCTGATCCCGAACAGGTTGCCGACGACCTCGACAGCTCCACGCCGCGCAGCTTCTGCCAGGCTCCTCTTCTCAGCCTTGGCCGCGCGTCGGGCCTCCTTCGCCATGCAGGCTGCCTGCATCTCACGGGCATTGCTCAGCGCGTCGCGCAGGTGGGCGTCAGATCTGCTGGGACCTGGGTTGTGGTACTGCTTGTTCTGGCACGCGTAGTTCTGGCTCTTGCCGCTCTGGTAGCCCCCACCTCCACCATATCCATGGCCTCCGCGTCGGTCGCCCCCATGGCCACCGTGGGGGCCACCTCCTCCGCCAGGAGGGCGCGGCGGCTTCCCCCAGACCATCGCTCGGCACGGCGCTGCCGGCAGGGGCTGGGCGAGGTGGCGGCCAGCAGCCAGACGTGGGGCCTGGCACTTGCTACACGGAGGATCGCCCACTGAGGATTGTGCTTTGAGCCAGTAAGCTATCCCAGACGGAGTCGAGCAAACACCGAAGCACTTCAACCTTGGCACCCGCACTCTGCACCAGTTCTTCAAGTTCTCTGCTCGACCTGGCCAGCTCTCTCCCCATCTTACGAATGTGGCATAGGTATGTAGATGTATGCTTACGAGGGACACTACAAAGACTTCGGCCGATAATGATGGCTGGCCATTTCTGGACCAAAACTTCAACAAGGATATCGGTTGTGGCCTCTCGGGCTCGATGAGGGCGCCCCTGGGCCATGGAATTAAAGGCGAAGACCCTCTCCCACATTCGTGGGCACAACAACCGCGGAGGTAACATATTGGGGGCACTCTCATAGTGCGGAAACTTCGCGTATTTAAAATTCGATCTCTTCCCCTGGATGAAATCTTGATTTGCTGCAAACGCATGGCATTCAATATCTGTGCCCTTCGCTCTGATCTCACACTGAAGGTACTGCATTGGGAGGTCTTCTCCCTCGTGGGTGATCCCCACATCCGATGGAAACAACTGACGCAGACCTCGATACAGACAACTACTACAGTATACTCGAGAGAAGCAAAGCGAGTCATCAACATACAAAAGACCCTGCACCAATTCATCTGTCTCATATAGTGGAATGCTAAAACCCAACCTGCGCGCAAGTGCTTTATTCTTATACAATGCAACGATGGATTCACCAAGGTCGGCCAATGTGGCAGGCTCGGACATGGAGCCGCCCATTGGCCAACCTTTACGCCGACAGAAAATCTCCGTGCCAACACAAAAGTACTTGTCCTTACATGCATATGTAAGTGCTCGAATGATATCTTCAAATGTGACCAAATCATATCCTGGCTTCCTGGGCTGTCCTGGCACGTGCAGTCCTTCATGGGCCTTGCGACCTCTCTGCACCTCGACGCCGGCGGCACCGGTCTCGCCGTGATACGGGCGAGGAGCTGACGTGCACGTCGCATCCTCGGACCTCAGAGGCGCCCTTGAAGAACTGCGCAGCATCAACCTTGACAAAGGCAAGAGGGGGGTTCTGACAGACACAGGGGCAAGTATGTGTATACTTAGAAATGGTACACAACTTATTTATACGCGTGCGAAAAAGAGATGGCAGACGATTGGGCCCCCATACTGTCCACATTGCATCGCCCGACCTATTCTTAGCATTTCTAAGGGCACGCGCTGCTTTTTGGAGAAAGCGTTTTTGGGTAGCCCTGCAGTTGCTGATGATATCACGCTCATGCGCGTGATCTTTCTCGCGGGTGAGTGCTCCCGTTTCTGCAGACACGCATTTGCCTTTAACTGTAAGGTAAGCTCGGGGCAGGTGTTCAATCTGGGCAATCTGTTTGCTGCGCCACTGATCAGGCACAAGCTCGGCATCTCTTTGACGCTGCATCTTAACAACTTGTTTGACTGAAAGCTTTGGCATGTGTTTATAATGGGTATTGCCATCCAAGAAGCATTTTCCCAGGCGCCATATGTAGAAGTATGTTGGTACGCCGACCCTCCGATGTGGGTCTTTATCAACTCCAATCCACACATGGCTCTGGAATTCCCTGAGGTAGAACCCACGCACGATTTCCAAAGGGTGTGGGGCCCACTCGGACAAGGTCCCATTGGGGCAAGAAACTGCAAACACAACTCATGCAACCATGGAGCATTATATCGTGCACGCTTGAACTGATATTTATAAAAGTGCTGCTTAAATTGGGGCTCAAGCTCACTCCAGATTCTATCTGCACGCACCGCTTCTGGGATACTCCAAAAGTTATTATCCCACACAACATCGTGCGTGAGCCGTCCTGCGATCTGGGGATCATTGCATATGTGCCGATACCATGGTACAGTGAACAAAGATGAGATGATGCTTTTGGGTAAGTATGTCACTATAATAGATCGGTCATGTGCCCACAATTCGGGTCTTCGCAACGAGGTATTCAACTAGCTTCTTTCGTTTATGGCTCGCCATCCAGAGGTATCTCTGAACAAGCCTACGTACGCGTGCCAAGAAATGTGGATTCGATGAGGCAACTCGAAATGTGAAGGGTCGCCTCGGGAGCAAATTCCCTGTCTGCAGGAATCGTTCGAGCTTGGCTCGTGCTGTGTCTCTCTGCGCCTGCAGCAAACGACCGCGTAGACACCACACGCTGAGGATGTATGAGACCAACAACGCATGTCTCCATAGCCTTGCATAGCATAGCCTGGTTCCAAAATCTCCGAGATACAGGCACAACCATGACTCATAGCCACGCACATACATGAGATGCTTAACACGGTGTGATGAGAGCAAAAGCTTGCGTGCACACCATTCAAGCAAACATGGGAAGTTAGCCTGCGTGCGCAACATACGTTTTCGAAGATCTGCACTCTGGCGTATTCGTGATATGATATTATGTGCACACTCCTTCTCCAAACTTGGATACTCTCAAAACCGTGGGTAGGCACGGCTCCTCTCATTTTTAGACGCATATTTATTGGAGGGGAAGGTTGAATAGGAGGCTGTAATATTTCGATGGTGAGGCTCTCAAATCGTAAAATGTTATTGATGCTACCATGGGCCAATGGTGTGGCCACGAGCGACCATATGGTACAACTACTCCACTGGGTGTATCTTGGGCGATGAGTTTGGGACCCTGCCTCAAGGAACGTTGCATGGAAGTGCTCCTTGAATCTAGCCATGCCTCCATGCCAGCTGCGCCCGTTGACACGCCGGCTGTCCTGGGCCTTGCCCAGATACCAGGATCCGCACTCCAGGGATGCTGCGCAGTACCGCATGCCCGTCTTAGCCTGGCCTGGGGCTGGGTACAGCACAGCATGCTCGAGGTTCTGGAGGTAGCTCTTCCAAAATGGGCTCTCAAACTTTTGATACAATATCGTAGCTTGCAACTCGGGCTTACCAGCCCGCAACACCAGTCTAAGATAATATTTCTCATTGTGGTACTTGGTAGCATGGTAATAGAACTGGTAGCAACCGAGAAGGTAATGGATGGACCACATGTGTACATTGGCTCGTCCTTTAGCGAGCCAAATCCCAAGGGCGCATCGAACATTCCTAAGATGATCGATGTCGTATCTGCCCTGGAAGCCTCGCAAGGACCAGTTGCCATAACTTCGAGCGATTCGATGACACAACTCTTGTTCGGTCCCTCCGAGGGGAAGCTGGCAGACCACACATACGGCTCGGGCAACTTGGCACCCTCGATGCTGCTGAATTGTGTGCTGCCACTCAGTGTATGCGAGTCGGGGAAACACGGCAGTGGCACGTCTGTATGCCACCTCCATGGGGAACGGAGAACACAAGTAGAGTGGTACTGTCTGGCTCGGGGGAGGGGCTCAAACTTGTACCTATGCAGTTGGCAGGAAACGAACGGTATGATACTTAACCACCCCCGCCCTGGAAAAGGCCACTGGGGGTGAGCTGCTGGTCTCGCAGTCGTTTGATGTATATACTGGTTTAGCAGAAGTGCTAGGCACACAAGGGGGAACCGGTACCTCGGAGTCGTGTCAACCCCTCTCTGCAACAACCTTTTCCTCTCGTGGTACACCTCTCGCGTGTGCAGCATAAACGAGCGCCAGGCTACGAACTGGCAGCTGGCAGGTTTACGTCGTCACCTTCTCGCTTCAGCCAAAACTCAAATATATAATGAGGATGGCGATAGTACTGGACAAAGGCATGAGCACAACATATGTGAGCACCGTGCGTGCGATCACACATGCAATCAAGATGCAGCACATACAAAAGAGGAGGAAAGAGGCGAAAAGCGTTGGCGAGCAGATGCAGCAAGTTCGAATCAAACTCGAACGCCGCACTGAGGATGAGCTCGCCTGGCGGAGCGTAAAGGGAGGCAAACACTGTCCGAACAAAATATGATGCTGCTGCTGCTGCTGCTGCCGCTGCTGCTGCTGCTGCTGTTTGATGCTGGTTGATGCTGCAGGGTGCTGTTTCTCGCTACTTCTGCGTGCTGGCGCAACCTACTGAGGAGTCTGAGGAGCGATCAGCGACGAGCGAGGAGCGAGAAGGGCGAAGCAACGGCCGATGAGAGACGGGCGAGGAGGGAGGAGGGAGAGTCGAGGAGGGAGGAGGCGGGAGGGAGGAGGAAAGCGGGCTCCGCTGCGGAGCGAGGGAGTCGTCGCGAGGGACCGTCAGGGCTGCATGGGGGCTGTCTTGGAGCTGACGTGGGGCTGAGTCGGGCCTCTCTCTGGCGCGTTTTTGGGCCCCACTGGGGCGCTGCTGGGCCTCCCAGGGGCCGCCTTGACTTCAGCTGGGGGCCGCTTGCGCCGTCGTGGGAGCATCCTGCACTGTTCGCGGCTCCTGGGGGGGCGGCGGGGAACCCGTCGTGGGGACACTCATCGACCCCAGTCGGGGCTCCCAGGGGGCGTCTCTGGGGCATCTGGGGGCCCCCTTGGGCAAGTTTGGGCCTCTTAGGCCCTCTTGGGATCACGTGGGGGCCGTCCCCGGAGCCCGCTTGGGGCTCGTCCCCTTGGAGACCTCGTGGGGCCACCTGGGCCTCTCTTGGGCCGTCTTGGGGCCGTACTGGGCGGTCAGTGGGCCCTCTTGGGCCGTCTTGGGGCCTTTGTCGGGGTCTCCTGGGCCGTCTTCTGCGACGCCTCCCTGGGGCCGGCTGGGCCATTAGCGGCCCAAAGCGCCGAGAATGCGACAATGAGTTTACAACCTATGGAGCAAGGAATGGGTTTGGCCTTGTCGGGGCGTCGTCGGGGTCCTCCCGGGCCGTCCGGGGAGGCTCCTGGCCTGTCGTCATGCCCTCTGGGGCCGTCCTGAGACTCATTTCGGGTCCTCTCGAGGCGTCCTGGCGCTCTCTTGAATGTCTCTGAGCCGTCTTTGGGCCGTCCGGGGCCGTATTGGGGCAATCTTGGGACGCTCTGGAGCCGTCGTGGTGCGCCCCTGAGGCTCTCAGGGCGCCTCGGGGGGCTCTATGACGCCAGACACTTCCCGCACGCGCGTATGCCTGCAATTTAAGTAAGATGACATTCGGCTCCAGCTTCGCCTCTTTCATCTCGCTGAGCAGCCCCAACGCCAGCTGCCACTGCCTGCCCTTCTCGCTCGCGCTGATCCCAGCGCTGTAGCTGATGACGTTGGGCTTCACCTTCGCCTCCCACATCTCGCTGAGCAGCGCCAGCGCTCGCTGCCACTGCTCGCATTTCTCGCACGCGCTGATCACAGCGCTGAAGCTGATGACTAGGGCTGACACGCGGCCTACAGGCCACCAAGTCTGTCCGAGATGGCACGTGGGGCCAAGGCAGAGATGTTGTTGCCGAAAGACTTTCGTGATGGCATTGGGTCCGAACTTCACCTCTGCTGTTGCTGCATGCAGCTGAAGGGTGCTGCTGCATGCGACATACTGCTGTTCTTGTTTGCGTTTGCTGTGCTGCCGCTGCTTGCCGCGGACTGCTGCTATTCGCTGTTGTCACGTTGCTGCTCGAGGCTTCAGGGTGCTGCTTCTTGGTACCCCTGACAGCTGACGCAACCGACGCTTCGTGAGCGAACCGAGGAGCGAGGAGCGAGGAGTCGGGGTCGAGGGGGGGAGGGAGCGAAGAGCGATCGGCGAGGAGCAAAGAGCGGGCCGGGAGGAGCAGCGGCCGAGAAGAGCGAGAGCGAGAGAGAGAGTCGGAGACGAGGAAGCGTAGGGGAGAGCCGGAGGAGGAGGGAGAAGGCAGAGGCCAGTAGCCAAGAGGGAGAAGGGAGGGGCCATGAGACGTGGGAGGAGCGAGACGAGAGGGGTCACAAGCGAGGACAGAGCGGCGAGGAGCGGCGAGAGAGCGGCGAGGAGCGAAGAGCGTGGAGCAGGGAGGGAGGCGGGAGGCACGAGAAGGGGCCAGCACACGAATGTCTCAATCGCCTCGGCGCGCGTGTGGCCGAGCATCTGGTCACCTGCGCGGTCGCCCATGGGGCTCTCTTGGGTGGTCGGCACGGTCCCAGAGCTCCCTGATGGATCTCTCCACGGAAGCCACTTGGAGGCGGTTTTCAATGTTTTGAAGCCTCTCGTGGCCCTCTTGGTGGCCTCATATGGGCCTTCGGGGGGGGCCTCCTGGGGCGTCTGGGGGGCGTCTTGGAAGCCTGCTGGCGGTCTCGGGGATCTTCTTGGGGCGGAGGGTGCGACATGCCACTTCCAGTTCCCCCTCTGAGGGCCCTCTTGGGTCCTTCTTGGGGCCATCATGGGCCGTCTTGGAAGCCTCTTGGTCAGAATCCTTCGAAAACCATCAGGAACTCAAAGATGATGGTTCCTCCCTTGTTTCAACGGCAAACGTGTTTACGGCCATTCCCCTTGCCGCGGGTGTCGGCCCAGTTTGGCCCTGTTGGGCCGTCCGAATTCCACATTGGCGAACTCGCAGGCCCAGGGGCGCATTTCGGGTCATCTGGAGCAATTTCGAAGCCGTCTTGGGCCGTCTTTGGGCCATCTGGGTCTCTCCCGAGCCTTTCCAGAAGCCCCCGGAAGCCCCTCCCAGTGTGCCCCGAGGCCCTTACCCTCCCATCGGTCACCAGACGTTTCTTGCACACATGTGCCCCAGTAGAGGTGATGACGTTGGCCTCCACCTTCGCCTCCCACATCTCTCCCAGCAGCGCCATCGCCCGTTGCCATTGCTTGCCCTTCTCGCACGCGCTGATTCCAGCATCGTAGCTGACTGGGGCTGATCCGCGGCCCACCAGGCACGACAAACTCCATGGAATGTGTTGCAGGTGTACTTCCGCCGTCCTGAAATGCTCATGTTGCTGGCTTGTGATGGTTCTTGCCAGGGCGTTGGGTGCCTCCCGAAGCTCTGCCGGACGCGGGAGATGCACTGGCTGGAGCCCGAACGAAGCGAATCGCAACGAAGTGCGGCCAAGTGTTTGCCGGAGGGCCTGGACGCGGGAAGGCTGCATTTTGCTTGATGGGTGCTGACTACTGCTGCTGGCTGCTGCTGGATGCTGCTACTGGCACTGATGCTGCTTCCAGGGTGTGTCAAGGCACGCCTGGGACCTCTTCGGGCATCCTTCACCGTCTTCGGCCGTAATGAGCTTCCTTACACGGGCGCGAAGCCTTGCTGATTGATTGCTTTCTGCCTGCATGGTGCTAGCTGTTGCCTGGTGCTGGGTATTACTGCCTGCCTGCTACTATCTGCTGCATGATGCTTGTTGGCGCTGGTGATGTCAAAGCGTGCTGGAGTGGTTTGGGGACCGTTTGGGGGCATCTTGTGCCTTTTTCCAGCGCCTTGAGGGCTTCTTGGGGCCCTCCGGGGCCGTCTTGGGCGAGACGTCGGGCGTCTTGGTCCCTCTTGGAGCCCTTTTGGGGCCGCCTTGGGCTGCTTGGGGTCGCTCTTGGGGCTCGCTTCATCTTGGGCCGTTTTGGTCGCCTCTTGGACCGTCCTGGGGCTGTCTTGGGCCTTGGGTCGTCTTGGGGCCATCTTTGGGGCCTCCTGGGGCGTCCTGGGGCAATCTCGGGGTATTCAAGGGCCGTCATGGACGGAGTGAAGACGGAAAAGCGGGAATGCTAGAAATATCCGCTTCCCCACAAAGGATTGGGACGATTTGGGCTTCTTGGGGCCATCCTGGGGGTCCTCTCGGAGCCTTCTCGGGGCGTCTTGGGGGCATGCTGGGCCACCTTGACGCTATCCTGAGCGTCTTGGAGCGCTCTCGGGGCCGTCTTGAGGCAGTCTTCGAGCCGTCTGGAGACTCTCCGAAGCCTTTCCGGACGCCCCCAGAGGCCGTCCGGGCGCGCAGACCCTTCTCGCACGCACGTGGCCTGGTATTGCAGAGAAGATAACGACGCTGGGCTCCACCTTCGCCGCCCACATCTCGCTCAGTAGCGCCAGCGCCCGCTGCCACTGCTCGCCCTTCTCACACGCGCTGATCCCAGCATTGTAGCTGATGGTGTTGGCCTCCACCCTCGCCTCCCACATCTCGCTCAGCAGCGCCAGCGCCCGCTGCCACTGCTCGCCCTTCTCACACGCGCTGATCCCAGCGCTGTAGCTGACCAGGGCTGACCCGCGGCCTTCTGGCCGCGGAATCTGCCCGCCATGGCGTGGACGTGGAAGTGGAGCGTCTCCGGGGCCTCGCAGGCGAGGGGAGGTTGGAGGAGACGGCGTGGATGGAGGAGGTGGCCGCTGGAGGGGGAGGTGGGCGAGGGATGCAGGCAAGCAGGCCTGAAGGCAGGAATGCGATGGTAGAGGCGGTGTCAGTGGAAGCAAACCCATGCAGGCATGACATGGTGCGGACAGAAGCTGTTTCTCACGCCGCAGTATTTGTTCATCATCATCATAGCTTCTGCGGTGAGTGTTAGCCGTGATAATTGTATCTGCTCCTCGCCGAGGCCGAATGAGAATTCTATCTGGTAGAGTGGTGACAATGGGGCCGGTGGGCGCGGCCAAAGAGGCCCGCAAGAGGGCGGCGAGACGGCCCAAAAGGTCTCCAGGACGGGCCACGAGGCTTCTTAAACGGCCCCAGAGGGCCCCACGAACTCCCTAAGTCGGGCCCCAGTCCGAGCGCACCGCCCCAAGACGTCCCCCAAAGGCGCAGAGATGGCTCCCAGAGGGTCCAAGAAGCCCCTCAGACGACGCTGGAAATTTCGACGCTCCCCAAGAGAGAAGGATCCAAGGCCTCTTGGGGGCCGTTTAGGGGCCTCTTTTCGTCCTCCTGGGGGTCTCTCGGGGCCCTCTTGGGCCGTCTTGAGTGCCTCTTGGGCTGTCTTTGGGCGGTGTGGGGCCGTCTCGGGCGCCTCTCGGACCATCTTGAGGCCGTCTTGGGGCCATCTTGGGCCGATCTTGGGCGCTCTTGGGGCTGTCTTGGATGTTTCTTGGGCTGTCTCGGGCGCTTTTGGAGCCGTCCCAGGGCCGTCTCGGGCCGTTTTGGGTGGGGCGATCTGGGGGCCTGTACAGTCGTCTGGGAGACTGTGCAGATGGAAAAGCTTGGAGACGGGGCGGTGGGGGCCTGCACAGCCGTCTTGGAGACGAGGCGCTGGGGCCGTGTAGAGCTATTATGAACTGCTCTTGGGGCTGCCTTGCGTGCGTCTTGTGCCGTCTGTGGGGCTTTGGGGGGGCCCTCCTGGAAGCCTCTGAGCGCGTCTTCGGGCGAGCTGGGGGCCTGAGTAGCCGTCTGCTGCGAGGACGAAAAAACAAGATCTAGTGAACATGTGCGTTTCCCGTCGGGAATGGGACGATTTTGGCTTCTTGGGGCTCTCCTGGAGGCCCTTCTAAGCCATCTTGGGAGCCTCCTGGCCCTGGGGGCCTCTGAGGCTGTCCTGGGGCTCGCAGGGGTGCTCTGAAGCTGTCTTGGGTGCGTCTTGGGCCGTCTGGGGTGCCTCTGGAGCCGTTCCGGGGCCGTGTGAAGCCGTTTGGGGGCCCTCCTGGGGGCCTCTGGGCGCGTCTTGGGGCGAGCTGGGAGGCCCTGTATAGAAGATATAATGAACATGTGCGCTTCCCGTCGGGAATGCGACGATTTTAATTAGCCTCTTGGCCCTCCTGGGACATCTTGGGAGCCTCCTGGCCTGCCTTGGGAGCCCCTGGGGCTGTCTTGGGACTCCCAAGGGTGCTCTGAGGCCGTCTTGGCGCCCCCTGGAGCCTCTCGGAGACGTCTCGTGGGCTATTATGAACTGATCTTGGGGCTGTCTTGGGTGCGTCTTGGGCCGTCTGGGGCGCCTCTGGAGCCGTCCCGGGGCCGCCTCGGGCCGTTTGGGGGCCCTCCTGGGGTGATCTGGGGGCGTCTTGGGGCGAGCTGGGGGCCTGTAAAGCCGTTTTGGACGCGGTGAAGACAGAAAGAGCGAGCATATCAAAAATGCACGTTTTCCAAAAGGGGATGGGGCAATTTTTGCCTCTTGGGTCCCTCCTGGGGGTCCTCCTGGGCCGCCTTGGGAGCCTCCTGGCCTGCCTTGGAGGCCTCTGGGGCCGACCTGGGGCTCGGTTGGGTCCCTCCTGGTCTGTCCGGGCGCTCTCGTAGGCGTCTCTGAGCCGTCTCTGAGCGGCCCGGGGGCTCGCAGGGCGGCCCGGAGGGCCCGGCCAGTCTTTCAAGACAGAGGACCTTCTGGCACGCAAAGATCGCTGCATTGTAGAGGAGACTAGGGCTGACCCGTGGACTACGTCCACTTGCGGGGTAAAGGGGTGCTGCCGCAAGGCGATCGGGATGAATGGCGTCATAGTCGCCTGCCACATACCATGAGGCCAAGAGGCCCCCAAGAGGGCTGCAACAGCGAAACATGTCAGGGCCCCAAGAGGCCCCGGAGAGGGCTCGTGACTAACCCAAAAAAATAGGTTGAGCCAAATCTGGCAGGGAGCGCCAAGCAAGCGTCAGGGAGGCGGATAGCCCCGCGCGGAGCCCGGAAACGGAGTCAGGAACTGGGTCGAAATGGCTCGTGACACCGTTCACTCTTGGGAGACTTCATCATCACCCTCCCCTTCATCATCATAATCGTCATCATCATCATCATCATCATCATAATCATCATCATCA